CTTCAGAACAGTGGACAGGAGGATTTTGAATGTTCCTAGCAGTAAAACATATTAAGAAGTTGAAGTGGTGGACATGCTGCCTACCTAATTTGATAGTCACACATTATTGTCATATGTTGAAATATCACACTACCCCACAAATATGTATCATTATTATATATCAGTTTTAAAAGAGACTGAGAGTCAGGTGTTAGGATTTCAAAAAGGAGCCCCAATGAGGTGTGCAGAACTGAGAGAGAAGAGCCACCTGGCCCAGACCTCATAGCCTGAAAGGCTTTTCACCTTTTGACATTGTTCCCAAATGAAGTTACACAAAGAAATTGCAGAGAGACAGTGCTGGGACAGAATAAATTTCATTCTTCCCCTTTAAACTTGTGTGCCATAAATGGTCCAAGGGTGCTCCAAAAATTTATACATGTAATGGACTCCATAAGTATCCTGGAACTAGCACTACTTAATTATATTATGTTTTATCTTTATGTCATAACTTTTGTAATTTTGACCTAGAGTTTCTTTAGGAATTCTTACAAAGGAGAAATAGCTAGGATGTTGCTTGAGCAGTTCAGAGATTAAAGAAGAGCTCTAGAGGGATACCAGTGGGGACTACAAATTGGTTTCTGAAGGACTGGTAGAATTTATTATGATCTGTAGTGTGGCATGGGGAATGTCATCGTTGCTAAGTATTCTTCTCAGAGCAAACCAATTCTTCTTCTTCTTCTTTTTTTTTTTTAACAAAGGGACAGCCATCACTATTCTTTTCTCCAATCCCATGAGAAAAAAGCGCATTCCTGTGATGTGGGTGATTGGCAGGTCCTATCTGCCTCTGTAGATTGGCTCACTCTGCGGGTCTTGCCAGCTTGGTGGTAGGGCTGAGAAAGTGGAGAAGCCCTTGGGAGTGCAAGGTTATGAGTGGGAGACTGAGATCTGTAGGTGAGGCAGAGAGATATGACAGGTAACTCCTGTCAGTGCTCGCGTGGATAAGGGATATTTAGGAGAACCGAGCAGAGTTTACCTGCAGTGCAGTGTAGAGCTGTTTAATTTGCTCCTATTAAGAACAGTAGTGTCCTAGTTAATTGAGACAGAGGTTATAAATTGGGGCTTCTGGAGAAGTTGTTAGGGTTTACCTTCTTAGAGTTCTCTTGTAGGGTGGTTTGGGAGCCACCCAAAGAACAACATTTTGGGATTTTTGGGGATAGGGCCTGAGGTCTGTCCTTGTGCCATCCCTGTGATTGCAGGTCAGTAGTGTGAGCATCAGGAATTAACCCCAAGATCTCAGCCAGTATCATGTGTGTGTTGTGGGCTCTAGAACTTGTACTTGGATTACAAGACACTCAGAGGGGCCCTGTCCTAGTCCCTCCCTCTGCTGTTGAGCTAGAGTTAGGGGCTCTCTGCCTTCTTGAGGCACCTTCCCTGCTTCCCAGGCTTGTTCTGAGTGACAGCTCCTCCTTTGTTTCTTACATCTTGTGGGCAAAAGTCCATCGTGTTGATGGACCCCTGAGGTGCTCTTGGATACTTTTTAATGTTTAATTCACATATAAAGTGGCCTGATGTATGCTAAGCACTATTCAAATATCTGTAAATATTTTATCTGTCATCTATTTATCAACTATCAGTTATCTATACCTATCTAGCCTCTGTTCTAAGTTGCTTAGATGTGATCAGAGTCATTTCATTCTCAAAAAAGTCCATGAGGAATTGTTTGCCTGGACTGACAGGTGAATAAACTCAGGCCTGGAGAGGTTGCCTGAGATTTTTAACCTCACAGACCTGGAAAGCAGCAGAGCTGGGATCTGTGCCCAGACTGCGTGGCTCCGGAGCTTTGTTGTTCCATTACTGCCCCCTCTGCTTGTTTTCAGGGGTCTGCTGCTGCCCTGGGTGCAGCCTCCATGCCTCCTGCCTGAGGTGCTGTACCCAGGCAGTCATCTTTTCTGCAAATTTGAAGTTGCATGTTGTAAATATATCATGGTCTCACTTAAAGCACACTAAAATATGTAACTCCAGGTCCAAAAAGGTCCAAATTCCAAATTCCCATCTTAGATTGTACGTACAGGAAATTGTGAGGTGTGGGAACCTCATTTCCACAGCCCCACAGCACCGACTCAGTGCCATTTTTCATCAGGGCAGCACCCCATCATTACCATGCTTGGCAAATCCAGTGGACAATTCCAGTCTGAGCGCCCAGTTATGCTACCAGGCACTGTTAGATCTGAAAATCCTTTTTGAGTCCTGTGACAATGACATCCAAGTGCTGGTGAAGTGGTGGGGCTTGCAGCAGTGCTCTAAAAATGGAGAGAACATCAATGGCTTTGCACTGGTGAGAGGGACTGAAGTGCCACAAAGAAGGCTGAACAGTTCCCATATGCACGCTGTTGCTCATTTAGCAGTGAGCGCTTTGCAAAATATTGGAGAAAGTGCTGCAAAAATGAAAAGCTGCATTAAAGCCAAAGCATTAAAGCCTATTGCTATGGTTATAGGTTTGCACACAGTAAGAACATTCCTCCCATTTTGCATGTATGTCTTTGGGAAGATGAAGTGAATTTTGAATTAAATGTGACTGCCCTGTGCTAAGTTTCTCTCTCTCTCTCTTTCTCTGTCTCCCTTCCTCTCTCCCTCCTGTCTCTCCCTACTGAAAGAACTGCTGCCAGATTAATTCTTCTCAGAGGCTGATCAGGTGACTCCCCTGCTCAAAACCTCCTGGGGCTCCCCACTGCCCATTAAAATTAGTGCAAGTATTCAAACTGTCCAATCAGAATAAGACTGAGTCTCCCAATGGGGTTCTTGACTTCTGAGGGTACGGCCCAAGGCCTATAAAGCATGCATACTCAGGCCATCAGTGTTGTACCTTGAAGTCTGTCACCAGGACTTAACTGTGGAGGGGGAGGTATTTACTTATTGGGAGTCAAGATGTGATGGGGAAACTGAATCAGCACATCTCAAATTCCCTCGACCCACCACTTAGAATGGACATTTGGAATTTTAACATTTTGAACTAGAGGTTATCATGTTTCAAGATGTGCTCTAAGTACAGTGGTATCTTGATTCACAAACTTGATTTGTTTTATGATATTGGGAAAGATTGCTGCACTTGTATCTGTGTGGAGAAGATGGTCACCTGATGTGGAGTTTACAGACAAAGCAGGAGCTAACTGAGATGGGATGGGAACTTGTGATGGTCTACAGATCCCCAAGTGGCCCTTGATCAGTGTCTGGCACATAGTAGGACCCATTATCTAGCTGTCAATGAACAAATGGCCTTTTTAAAGATCGTTACCTGTGAGGCCAAAGCTGCAAGGGAGAGGGCTCCAGGAACTTAGGCAACACTAGCTTTTCATTCCTGGATGTAGGCTAAGCAAACAAGAAGTTATCTAAGCCAGAGTTTCTCCATCTTGGCACTATTGACACCTTAGGTTGGTTAATTCTTTCTCGTGAGGGATAGCCCATATCACTGTAGGATTTTTTTCAACATCCCTGGCTTCTAACCAAGTCACCAGTAGGACTTCCCTACCCAAGTCATGAAATCAAATGTATCCAGACACTGCTCAGTAGCCTGAAGTGGGGTTGGGGACTGAAATACCTCTATCTGAGGACCCCTAGTCTAGGGCAGTCATTCTCAATTTTCGTGTCAGAATTTCCTGTGAATCAAACAAAAATGATGCCTCTTATTTCGAGACATTCAAATGTAACTGGTTCTGGTTCTGGTTTGTGACCCAGGTACAGGGAATTCTGAAGCTCCACAGGTGGTTCTAACTTGCAGCCAGGTTGAAAACCATCACTCTGGTTGGTGGCAGTCTAGAGGTTCCACACACATTCCAGGTTTCTCCATCGACCTGTCTTAGCTGCTTTCTTGTTACTGGGACAAAGTATTCACACCTACGGCTTAAGGGAGAGAAGTTGATTTTGGCTCACAGTAGTTAAAGGATCCAGCCTGTGATTGGCTGGCTCCAAGGCTGGAAGGGCATGGTAGAAAAGTCTGACAGAGGAAAGCAGTTCACATCATGGCCAGCAGGAAGCAGATGACAAGGAAGGAGATCATAGCCCCAGTGATCCACCTCTTCAGACCAGGTCTCACTTTCTCAGTGCACATTCAGATATGAAAGCGTCAGTGGTTCAACCCCCTGCTAAGTATTGCACTCTCCAAAAGCCCCACCTTTGAACACATGAGGCTTTTGGGGGGACATTCTAGATCAAACCATAAAGCCACCTGTGCAGGAAGTAAGGTGAATTATTAGTGTGGCTTTTTGCCTGGAAAAGTAAGCTCCAGAGAGGTGTGATGCTACTGAGTGAGTTGGGATTTGAACTCAGTTCATGGGACTCCTAAGCCAGTGCTACTTCCAAAGGTTAGAGGACAGCTGGGAAGATTGTCAGGTTGGCTAAGGGTCTTCCTTGTGAGTCTTTCCTTTTATGATTGTTTTCAATTTCTTTGTGTTTCTTTATTCAAAGGTACAGTTAGCAACCTTTTACACTTTAGTGTGAACATAAGGCTGCTCTCCCTGTTCTATCTAAAACAGTGAAGAGGAAGGCTTTTGCACCAGACCATAGGTGGGGTAGGAATGGTCTTGGAATGAAATAATGTTTGTGACATGACTGAAATCAAATCCAATAAGTAATTTCCTTTGATTAAGGTTCATCTCATTCTAGCTGTAGACTGAAAATCCTGTCCAACTCCTTTTCATTCACAAATCATGTGGGAGCATCTCCTTGTGTGTGTGTGTGTGGCGCAGTTATGAAGCTATTTTCTGTTGGCCAGGCCTCTTTATCTTGGTTCCCAGTTCCCAGGGGGCAGGTAGGTGTTTTTCACCTGGTTTTGTGGCACTCACTACTCTTCGGCTCTGGTTGGGAATGTAATGTAGAAGGAACATAGCACACAGATGACTCTCAAGGCACAGGCACCTCAAACAGGTGCAAACTCAGCGCCAAAGCTGTGGCTTGGTTGCATCAGGAAAAGCTGGCGTTGGAAGTCCTGGAGGAAAAATTGCAATGTGAAACTTCTGCAAAACACATCCTGAACAGACATTGCTTTTATTGGGATGGCTTCATTTTAAGAAAAGGGAAAAGAATCGAAGGCAAAGACAGACTCTGCTAACGGATGTTTGGGTATGGCTGGACATTTCTGCCCCATGCTGTGCAGAAGGGGTCCTGCCCCAGGTCAGTGCCACTGGTTCTTCCAGAGCAACGTTATCTGCCTGGGCCTCAGTGCACCTTCTTGAACACTTGCTTGCAGACCACACCCTGTACTCTCATCTCCTAAAACAAAAGCAGAAGGTTGTTGGCCAGAACAATGTCATACTTGGGGCTCAGAGCATTTTAAGGCAAGAACTTTGAAAATAATGGCCACTATTGTTCTCCACGAACTGAACTAATTATTTCCTTAGAGAGTCGGGTGAACAGGATCAGCAGAGATCAGAACCTCTACATCCGGTAGACAGAGCTCGCTAGGAACCCAGATACGGCTCAGAGCTGGCCAATAAGACCTCTTGATACTGCTTCTCCCCTCACCACCCTCAAGAAGCCAAAAGCTTTAGGAACCAAAGCCTGAACCCATGACAGAATCCGTGCTGAGGCTTGGAAGGAACTGGGCCCAGGTACATGGTTTAATAGGTCATGCTGCAGTACAGGGCTTCAAGGCAGCCTAAAGTACACAGTGGAGGCACCTGGGAGTTCAGAAATGCTTGATTCCACACTACACCAGTTATGTGAGTATCCCATGGGTGGAGCTGTGCTATTACTACCATTAAAGCCTCCCAGTATTACAGCCAAAGCAGCTTGTGCCCTGCCCTCAGGACCAGCTCCTGCTCAGCCCTGCTGACTGTGGCCAGGAGGCAAGGACAGTTGTATTGCTCTATCTTCTGAGATTTTTTTTTAAAAGAAGGTGGAAATCTGAATATTTGCATGACATTTCCTAATTTTTAAATAGATAAAGAACTTTAAAGTTTTTTCAGGCTTAAATAAACTAGATCAGCAGCCCCTTTTTGCAACTTCTGGGAGAGAGCCACAGAACTATTAAACTGAGAAGATAATAGAGATCATCTCATCTAACCTGTTTGCTCTACAGCTGGGGAAACAAAGGCCCAGGAAGAGACCAGTTTAAGGTTGAGTCTTGAAGCTGAGGGACTGAGGAAGGGACAGGACCTTCTAGTGAGTGATCTGAGATTAGAACCAAGACTACCTGGACGGGGCTCCTTGGGCTGATGGAGTAGTTGGGGAGTTTCCCAAGGAAGAGAAATGATAGAAGATCTCTCCTTGGGGCACATGAGCTTTGTTAGTTTGCCAGAAGCTCAGGGTTCTGCTCTGGACCTGTGTATGCTTTTCCCAGAGAGCAGACAGAATGGAAGTGGCTTTGACCTGAGTTCCCAGGGTGGCGGACAGTAAGCAGGTAAGGCAGGCTTTTCTTCTCTCAATCCTAGGTTGAGATCATGTCTTAGAGAAGCCGAGGAAGCTCTCCTCAGCTGTAGACTGCATAAATTGGCATAATGCACATATACATTATTTGGGAGCAAGTTGGCTCTTTCTAAAAATGCAATATGGACACAGAATTTAGCCTTTCAGGGCTCCAAGTCCTTATCAGCACAACAGGAATTAATTCTTATTTTAAGTTACTAGAAAGAGAATACAAAAGGGCTTCCATTGTTGATGCTTAGTAAGGGACCTTCTCACCTCTTCTCTCTGAATAGTGGGTTTGCCTAGAACAGTGGTGGCCAGTCTATGGCATGCATCCTGCAGCATGCTGTTTGTATCGCTGAGAGCTCTAAAAGGTTTGCCATCACTGGCCTAGGCCTGGAAAGCACATTGCATGGTTCTAAAAGTCACTTATGCATCTCCAAGCCCTTGGGAGAGAAGCTTCAGAGCAGAACCAAGGCCCAGCCATCATGTCTCTTTCCAATCCACTGGGGCCTACACAATGACAAGGAACCTACCAGGTGCAGCTCGTCACCCTCGATCCACTGCGTCCAGCCGCGCCCTTCCTTCTCTCCCTTCTGCACACACTGGAGCTTGTCCCCATCCCAGCTCACCGTGGTCTGTCAAGCAACAAGCACAGTCACTGGTCCTGAGAGAGCAGTCCCTGAGGGCTGGGGGAGGGGAGCCCCCAACCTTGATAATCCATGCATGTGAATCTTATTACAAAAAATTTGCAGTTCGATATTCCCTGCCCACCCAATGCTTTTATTATAGTGTGCAAATAAGTTTTTAAAATTTATGAAAACCTTCACAAAGATCATTGAGAAGGGTAATTAGGAGGGGACACATTGCTGAATGGGGCGTCACTGCAAAGATTGAGAATGGGGCTGGGAAGGAGGGGGCTCTGAGTGCTGAGCAGAGGTGGTGTGGGTGTGGGTGGTGAGAGCTGCTTTCCTAGACTTTGCTGGTGAGGGGCAGATTTCTCAAGAACTCTGCCTGTCCCCTAACATTTGATTGTTTCAACTTTTGGTAGGTCAAAAATGATTCCATCCCTGTCAGCAAAGAGCTCTGCATCTCACAGGAAACCAGCCATATGTACAATAGCAGTTTGTAGCTCCCTGCCTACTGTATCAGGCCTTCTCTGTGTATGCCTAACTGCTCGTGATTGCCTGTCTGGTGTGTGGATTAGCAACTCCTTTTTATAGACAATGTGAGGGGACTTTGGCACTCAGAACACAGGACAGTGATGCTTGATGTCCCTTTCATTGTGCTCTCCTGCTCCTCTAGGGGCTTTGTACCATCAGTTTTTTTCCTGAAGGAGAAGTAAGGAGGCCCTGGAGACATTCTTGGTGAGGAATCATGAAATGAAGGCAGAGATGGGACAGTACCAAGTGTGTATATACAGGAGCTCACACAGTGGGGGAAAGAGGTGAGAAGCCCTACTGTCCAGTCTGGACTTGGCAGAACACAGAGAGATCCTGCCTGACTCCTTTCATATCCCACATCCACTGTCTGCTGCCTGCTGCAGGGAAGACAGGAGCCCTTGGGGGATCCCATAGTCTCTTTGGAGCAGCATTCCCCACACCAGAACATGGAGCTCACAATAGTGTGGGAACTCAGAGGAGAAATAGCTCTGCCTCCCAGTTTGGCCTTGAGTGTGTGGTCTCCCCTGAACCTGTGTCTCAGAGCCGAGTGCAAAGGAGATACTGTGAGCATCACTCATGCTTGCACTGCCTGCCTCCTTTGGAATAGCTCTTCCCATGGGTGACTCATGGGTCCTGCTACCCCTCCGCAGTGGGAAGAAGCATTTGCCTCTGGTTACTATATGGCTCTGGGCAGGTCCATCCCTTCTCTGAATCCCCACATCCCCATCTGCCCATGTGAGGCCAGTGACTCAGAAGAGCTGGGTTTAGATAGCTAAGGTTCTGGGATTCCTGTGTTACCTGCCACACTTAGCTAAGATCAAGGCAGCCAGGAAAAGGTTGATAAGGATTTGGAAAGAGAGGAGAAATCTGGGGAAGGAGTATGGAGTGAGCAGGACCACTCCCTACTGGAGGACCACCTCTTTATTTCTAAAGGCTCACCCCATTCCCCATCAGCCTTCCTTCTGGGTTTGTTGATTACTGCTGCCCTCCGCTGTTGGGGTAAAATCTGTGCTGATGCAGGTGAAGAGGAGGGAACTGGAGCTCGCCTTGCACAGGAATAAGTCTGATCTGTGTTTCTGGAGCCCATTCCCAGAGATAGACAGGCCACACAGGACTTAGGGCTTGGCTTCTTTCCCTAGTCTTAGAGATTTACTCAGAGCTCATGTCCAGCTCCAAGCCAAAGGAGGTCCCGCCTCTGTCAGAATACGGCATGGTCAATGTCTAATGAGACTGTGATGGGTGAAGACTACTACTGATCTTATGCCACAAATATGGCCAGGATCCCATGTGTTGGATGAACTGTGTGTGCAGGACCATGATGGAAAGTGGAGACCAAGAGATCAGTCCTCAACTTCAAGGAGCACCTAGGAACCCTTGGTACTCTCTGCAACTGATTCGCTGTTTGTCTGTTAATCCAGAAGTCTACTTGGCATGTGAAGGGCTCCTGACTCCATCAGAGAACAAGAGAGAATTGCTTGTTCTCAGCTCTGATAGACACACTTTTTTTTTTTTTTTTGTCTTTTGCCTTTTTATCGGTACCAGGGATCGAACTCATGACTGCCTGCTTGCAAGGCAGGTGCTTTTGCCGCTGAGCTAAATCCCCAGCCCCAACACACTTTTGCTTCCTTCAGAAATGTCAGTGCAAGACTATATTCTCACTCTCCATTTTAGAAAACAAAATGGCCAAAGAAGAAAATAGTAATAAAATGAATGGACATGTAATGTTGCTTCTTCATAGACAACTGCTCCAACATTTAGATATATTTCTATATAATCTTTTTTTTTTTTGTACCGGGATCAAACTCATGATCTTGCACTTGCCAGGCAAGCGCTTATGCCACTGAGCTAAATCCCCAGCCCCTCTGCATAGTCTTTTCTCCCAATATGTACACATATTTCTGTTTTTACAAAACTAGGATTGTTTCATTTATGGTTTTATATCCTCATTTTTTCACTTATTTGAAGCAATTTTCTATTTCAACGAATATTCCCCATAAGAATTACTTCAATCATAACATATATTCAGGAAGTGGTTATGTAATTTGTGACATATAGTGTAAAATGAAAATAAAGGACTCTCATTCAAAAATGATTAGAATTTTAAAGACAGTGATAACAAAGCAGGTAGGCAAGGGAGAAGCCCTCCTGAAGCCTGTGTTGGTCATGCACCCATGAATCTGGCCTGATGGTGTTTTATTGAACATGCATACCATTATTTAGCTGGCTACTTATTCTGGGACACATAGATAATTTATAATTTTGTGCTGCTGTAAATAACACTACCTTGAAGACACAGTTTTGAATACATTGTTTCCTTAGAATATATGTCCAGTGAAGGAATTGTTGCATCAAAGAATGTGCATATTTTTAAAGCTTCTGCTACATATCTTGGTCACCAACAAGCCCACGCCTGCTTACCCTCTAACACCAGAGTTAAAGAAGACTATGAAAGAAAAGTCCATTAATGGTAAAGCAGGCGTTTATTCCTGGGCTACTGTGTCACTCTTTCAGCTTGGTGGGCATAAACAGGGCACCCATCTAGATATAAATAACACTAACAGCTTAGACAGACAAAAGAAAGACAGACAGCGGCCATAATGGACAAGGGGTTCAGGGAGCAGAAGCCTATTTAGGTGCAAAAAAACCTTTCTGGAAGCTCTACAAACTGAATGTCTCCAAGAGAAGGATCGCTTTCTCTTGGTGTCATATCAGTTTCCAAGGAAGCTCTTTCCCAGGCCCAAGTCCCCGTTGACTCTGATCCTGGGAGAGCTGAACAAGCAGAGACAATTCTCCTTGTCTGTACTGGAGGTGGAGGAGTGCTTGGACTCAGCTAGACCACGTGACTTTATCAAGTGTCACCCAGGAGAGGAGATATGCTTCAGATTCTGTGAAAGCCTGGAAAGGCCAACTACAGGTTCAAGATGAGGAAGAAAATGAAGAAACAACAGGAAAAAGGAAACTGCAAAGGGTGATGCTGCAACAGACACTGGCCCAACAGAAAAGTGAAACAGAGCAAGAGCTGGACACAAAGAAAAACACTGTTGGATTTGTGGCAAGAAGACTTGGCTGATTTTACTGAAGAACCAGAGACTGTTGGAGCCAAAGAAAATGAAGATGGACCAGTAGAACTTACCTAGGAAAAGAGGGCAAGCACAAGGAGAAGAAAACACATACATACACGCACGCATACAGGCATGCACTCATGCACACGAATAGTTGAAGTTTTGCCTTCTCAGTAAGGTGAAAGGATCATTTGTCAAGTGACCATAGAGATGAAAGCAGAGGCAGAAAATTAAGAGTGAAAACACTGAGGGAGCCCTTGTGGATGACATTATGGAGTTGGAAGGCCTGAAACAAAGATTAGAGAAGAAAATGAAAAGAAATCCAGGCACCAAGAGAAAGAAACAATCTATATTGCCAAATCTACCTAAAAGCAAAAGAAGAGAAACCCTTGGTCTGAATCTGAATCAGATATAAGTAGTACTGAAAATTAATTCTGACATTCCTCCACGAGAAATAGAGCCACAGAGACCTGTAGCAAAAACCAAACCCACAATGGATTTGGATTTGGATGAAGATTTCTTAGATGTTGATGAACAAACTGATGATGAAGATTTTTGTTCCATCAGATTCAAGTGTACCTAAGTCTCAAACTCCCCCCAAATATATTTAGAATAGAATCGCAGCCACAGAAAAGTACCATCTCAAGTAATTGGCCTCCAGGTTGATGATGTTGAGGACTTTCTTCAAGTCCTTCTGCTCATTTTCCAGCCTAAACTGAAATTACAAAGCCATCTCCCAAAAAATGCCTGACAGTGACAAAGAAGGCAGGAAAGGGTCAGTCTTCTACCTCCACTCCTGGTACCAAAAATGGATGGTACCAAAAGGAACCAAATACAGATCCAGGCTCGAACTACATACAGTATCTCTCAAAAGCAAGATCCTGCTAAAAGCAAGTGTTGACACAAAAAGAAATCATCTACTACTGTTGATTCTGATTCTAATTTTGAGAAAATCATGTCCAAAGGAGCCACAAGCAAGAAATCCAAGGGGTGAATGATGACTTCTATCTTGACCTAGACTCATCTGTGGCTCCTTGGGCAAAATTTAGATGAGTAAAGAAACCTAAAAAGTATCCGAGGAGTCAGGGAGAGATGATCTGTTTTAAACTATAGTGATTATTATTTTTTGGAATGTGCTTACTGAGCCCAAGACTGGTTTTAAAGTTATCCGAAGGTCATAGTTTCCTTCCTGAGTTCAGTATTGGAAGGAATTTTTAAAACAGGAAGTGAGGGCAGACCAAGTGACAATCAGCTTCATATACAATACACTGGTTCATCCTGTGGGCACTGTTATCTTCCCCGTTTTGTCTTTGTTTTAACTTCTATTTATTTTGGTCTTTAAAATGAGCCGTTAAAACTCTTCTTGACTTGAGCAAGTTATGTGGTCACTTCAGCATAAAAAATTTATTAACT